AGATTTGGAATCAACACCGCACCAGACGTTGACAAAATTCAATCAACCATTGACTACCACGAAGAAATTCACGAGGTAGGCTCTGATACCATGTGAATAATACAAGCTAATTCGATATTTCCAATAAGAGAGAAAAACTAAGAGATGGAGGAAGAAACCCAATTGTATGAGCCTTCAAAAATTAGGGCAAAATAAAATTACAATGAGTTTATATACTACAAATTAAAGTAATCATTGTTTTCGATTGAAATATAATATTTTAATATCTAAATAAAAATATCTTATAACACCATTACAAATTACGTACAATATACAGCTAGTAGTATGAAATGGATATCCATTATGAACACATTTATTTTCTTTTTTCTGAAAATCATATCAGTATCAGTAAAAATATATCCACCATTATTATTATTCTTTCACAACTTTATATATTCATCGATACATTGATATAAAAATAAATTTAATGGAGATAAGCTACGTATACAAAAAATTAAAAAATTAAAAATGAAGATAACTATCTCGTAATAATATAAATTTTGATAAAAATGTTAGTTTAGCAATTATCAATTCTCTAAATTGTTAATGATCCTGGTAGTCGTAGATCTGGCAACACCCGAGTTCTCGTTATCAAATATTTAATTATATATGTGCCAATATATAATGGGACTATATACATGGTAATTCGCAAGGTTTTATTTCATATATGCAATATTTTGAGACAATTATCGATTCATATTTTGAGAAAGAGAAGAATTATAAAAAGAAGTTGTCAAGTTTTTTTTTCTTTTTCAAGAATAAGTTGTGAATTTAATATATGAGAATAAAAAGAAGTTTTAATAGTATAATTTTTTATACGTTGTTTTAATCAATTAATATTTTATATATTTAATGGGACATATAGAAGTTCCAAAAAAAAAACTATCATCTATCTATTTAGCGAGAATATTAATTAAGTACATTTAGGGACGGAGCCAGACGTCTTGAACTGTGAGATCAAAAATGAAAATTCTGGGGTCAAAAAGTGAAAATTTTGGTTATAAAAAAAATAATAATAAATTGTGGGGTCAATTGACCCCATATGACACCATGTGGATCCGTCCATGAGTACATTGACTCAGTCGAGACTAAATGATTTTATTATTTAAATGCGATGCGATTATTAATTTACAGGGATATTAATTTATTGAAGTTCTAATGTATTAAAAAATAATCGAAAGCTACTCTACTTATTCATGAAATTTAAGGAGAAATTGAAACTAAAAATGTGTGATAAGCGTACGGTCAATAGAGTACAATTTATTATTAAACATGTGTGAACTAAATTCTTGAGATATTAACAAATTACATAGGAAATAGAATTTTATCTCCTAGTTAGCTATTTTATAAAGAAAACAAATTTCCATAATATATATGCAGACCGAACAGACCCCTCAAGGCTGAAATCCATTAGAATTGCCCTCTATTTTCTTCTTCTTTAGTTCATTACTGGTTGATCTCCACCTAAAGAAAGTACCAAAAAGTTCCTCCACATCCTCTAGGGTTCTCCCTTGTGTCTCAGGTAGCAATGTGTAGAAGAAAATCCAACCCATAGTTGCAACAATTGTGTACAGAAAGAAAGCCCCTCCAATTGTAATGCTCTTGTACAGGGATATAAATGTCATTAGCACTACTCCACTCATGAATCTATTCATTGCGACTCCCAAACCGCACCCTTGGGCCCTTAGCCTCAACGGGAAAATCTCGGAGCAGTAGACCCATACAATGGGGCCCATCCCCATCGAGAAAAATGCTACAGACGTCAATGTCGCTAGGATACACAAGGCGATGGCCCACGTTACTTTTTCATCATGAGATCGATCGATTACTGTCAATCCAATAGATAAGGACAAGAGGGAGATTACCAAACCACCGCTACTTGTGAGGAGCAAAACTCGCCGTCCAACCTTGTCTACCAGAAATGTAGTCACTAGGGTAAAAATTGTCTTTGAGAATCCAACCGCTATAGTGACGAGTAGCTTGTCTGTGACATTTTTTATACCGACTTTTTCAAAAATCCTGGGACTATATAACACAACAGCATCTATGCCACTCGCTTGTTGAAAGAAATGTATGCCAATGCCCACCAATAAAATGTGTAGGACGGCAGGCGAAGGATGAAGAAATAATTCCTTCCACACATCTTCACCACGACTTCGTTTAGGGACAGAAACCACATCGTCATTGCAATCTAATGGCAATCCTGCCGCCTCTTTAATATCAGCTAGTCTCATTTGTGCATCTTCTAATGAATCTGATGTTTTGTTTAAGACTCTTTTAGCATCGCCTATACGACCTTGCATGACTAGCCATCTGGGTGACTCGGGCATGACTAGGATGCCTAAAGCTAGAAAAATTGGTGGAANCTGGGTGACTCGGGCATGACTAGGATGCCTAAAGCTAGAAAAATTGGTGGAACTGCACCAAAACCAAGCATAAATCGCCACCCCAATTTTGCTGGAAGCTTGGAAAATACAACATTAGATACATATCCTAGCAATACACCTGCAAGACAGATTAAACAGTGCCATCACATATTCTGAAACACATGATTTGTACACAAATCTTAATTTATACACTTTTTTGTACCTCTGTAAGAGTGGCGATATTAACAAAACAGTTATTCGGATTTCATAAACTAGTATTTTTAATATGAAAAGGAAGCAGATAAAGGAATTAGAGGCTCTGTTCGTGTAACATTATTAATAATTTCTTAAGAGGAATAGTAATAAATTTATGCATGTAAGGTGTGTGCCCCTCAATTTATGCACATTTTAAGCATACGTACCAGCGTTGATGAAAACTTCAGGGAAAGAAGTGAGGGATCCACGAGATGACGTTGGAGCTACCTCGGCGCTGTACACAGGAGCTATCATCATAGCATACCCAACTCCGATCCCGGCCACAAACCTGCCGACCATAAGAAGCGCATAGCCGTTGGCGAAACCCATTAAAAGAGCTCCAGCGAAGAAGATTGCCGCTGCGAAGACTATGGTATAACGGCGTCCAATCCAGTCGGAGGTCCGACCCGCCACGGCGGCGCCGAAAAGGGCGTAGAGATTTATGGTCCCTACTAGGATCTCTATCTGGACGTCAGAGATTTTGANTTAAGAGGAATAGTAATAAATTTATGCATGTAAGGTGTGTGCCCCTCAATTTATGCACATTTTAAGCATACGTACCAGCGTTGATGAAAACTTCAGGGAAAGAAGTGAGGGATCCACGAGATGACGTTGGAGCTACCTCGGCGCTGTACACAGGAGCTATCATCATAGCATACCCAACTCCGATCCCGGCCACAAACCTGCCGACCATAAGAAGCGCATAGCCGTTGGCGAAACCCATTAAAAGAGCTCCAGCGAAGAAGATTGCCGCTGCGAAGACTATGGTATAACGGCGTCCAATCCAGTCGGAGGTCCGACCCGCCACGGCGGCGCCGAAAAGGGCGTAGAGTTTTATGGTCCTTACTAGGATCTCTATCTGGACGGCAGAGATTGTGAGTTCTTCCTGTATGTATATTGTTGCTCCACTCATGACTCCAGTATCTGCAACAAAAACACTCAATTTGTAAACTAAGAAATTGTAAAGAACGATAATTGCAACAAACATTATTGTTATTACCATATCCGAGTAAGATTGACGTCATGGAAGCTAAAATGGTGCATCCTATAGCAAACTTGTTTCTCTTTGGCCGCTTGGCTTGGTTTGAATCTTCGTAAACTGCATTTTTTTCTGGGTTTTGTCCAGCCATGAGAAAAAGAGGTGGAGGTTATGTGGCGGATTATTTTAGATGATGAGAAAAAGAGGTGGAGGTTATGTGATGGATGATTTTACTCGTAGGGGGTTATATACAGACGAAAATAAAGTTTTTTGGTTAATGTCTAACTGAAAGATCAGATTTATTAGGAGATAGGATTGATATAGACTCCTTGTCTATAGCTAACTTAAAAACGAAAATGTCGGATTAACACAGACTCCCTTGTTTTATTTTCGTCTATGGCTAACTTAAAAACGAAAAGATCGGATTAACACAGACTCCTTGTTTTATTTTTGTTTAATAATATAAGTTGTACAAAAATATGGTAAAAATAATCAAAATTATGGGGAGTCAAAATATTAGTAGAGAATTGTGCATACTAGGGCGGGACAAAATTCCTGAACCGAACCCGAACCGAACCGAACCGAACCGAGCGAAGCGGGTCTTCTTAAATTAAATACCCGAACGGGTATTTAAATTAAGAACCGACGAGTTCAGTTCGTTTCTCAATTCTAGACCAAGAACTGAAGAACTGAATCTCCATAATTTTTTTTAATTTTAAATAAATCAAATTATTTTATTTTTTAAAAATAAATTTGGACTCGACGGTTCCATAATTAAATTTGGACCCGAACGGGTATCTGAATCGAGAACCGACGAGTTCGATTCGGTTCAGTTCTCAGTTTTCGACCAAGAACTGAAGAATCGAATCTCCCTAATTTTTTTAATTTTTTATTTTAAGTAAGTCAAATTATTTTATTTTTTTAAAATAAATTTGTTAACTAATTAATTTAGTGAAAACCCAAAATATGATTTTACTATTTTTAATTTTCAACAAAGCCTAATTTAATCAAATTGACCTAAATTTTACCTAAATCTCTTATTCTACTGTAGTATCGTTTTTGTCATTCTATTATTGTGAACTCGCCATCTTCCCCTTCATGTGATTTTAACAGTCAAATCTAAGAAAAAATCAACAAAAAGATGTGCAAAAAATATCACGAGATTGAACTACGTTATTTTGTAAGAGTTTAAGATTGAACATGTTATAATCGAATTAATGTAGATTTGTTATAATATATAAAAAAAAATTTAATTATTGTACGAAACGCGGAAACCGAATAGAACAAAACTGAATGGAATCGAACTCGAGCGGTTCCATAATTAAATTTGAACCCGAACGGATATCTGAATCGAGAACCGACGAGTTTGGTTCGGTTATCAGTTCTAGACCAAGAACTGAAGAACCGAATTTCCCTAATTTTTTAAATTTTTTATTTTAAATAAATCAAATTATTTTATTTTTTTAAAATAAATTTGAACCCGACGGTTCCATAATTAAATTTGGACCCGAACGGGTATCTGAGTCTGATGTTTCGTTTAAGACTCTTTTAGCATCGCCTATACGACCTTGCATGACTAGCCATCTGGGTGACTCGGGCATGACTAGGATACCTAAAGCTAGAAAAATTGGTGGAACTGCACCAAAACCAAGCATAAATCGCCACCCCAATTTTGCTGGAAGCTTGGAAAATACAACATTAGATACATATCCTAGCAATACACCTGCAAGACAGATTAAACAGTGCCATCACATATTCTGAAACACATGATTTGTACACAAATCTTAATTTATACACTTTTTTGTACCTCTGTAAGAGTGGCGATATTAACAAAACAGTTATTCGGATTTCATAAACTAGTATTTTTAATATGAAAAGGAAGCAGATAAAGGAATTAGAGGCTCTGTTCGTGTAACATTATTAATAATTTCTTAAGAGGAATAGTAATAAATTTATGCATGTAAGGTGTGTGCCCCTCAATTTATGCACATTTTAAGCATACGTACCAGCGTTGATGAAAACTTCAGGGAAAGAAGTGAGGGATCCACGAGATGACGTTGGAGCTACCTCGGCGCTGTACACAGGAGCTATCATCATAGCATACCCAACTCCGATCCCGGCCACAAACCTGCCGACCATAAGAAGCGCATAGCCGTTGGCGAAACCCATTAAAAGAGCTCCAGCGAAGAAGATTGCCGCTGCGAAGACTATGGTATAACGGCGTCCTATCCAGTCGGAGGTCCGACCCGCCACGGCGGCGCCGAAAAGGTCGGAGAGATTTATGGTCCCTACTAGGAGCGCTATCTGGACGTCAGAGATTTTGAATTCTTCCTGTATGTATATTGTTGCTCCACTCATGACTCCAGTATCTGCAACAAAAACACTCAATTTGTATACTAAGAAATTGTAAAGAATGATACTTGCAACAAACATTATTGATATGACCATATCCGAGTAAGATTGATGTCATGGAAGCTAAAATGGTGCATCCTATAGCAAACTTGTTTCTCTTTGGTATCTTGGGGAGAACCAACTCTGAAATTGGCTGCTGGGCTTGGTTTGAATCTTCGTGAACTGCATTCTTTTCTGGGTTTTGGTCAGCCATGAGAAAAGGAGGTGGAGGTTATGTGGCGGATGATTTTAGATGAGCAAAAATTTAGTCCTTCTTAAGGGTATATATAATAGACGAATATTAGTTATTGTCTAACTGGGAGATAGTGTTATCTAATGGAAAATACAATTTAATTCAATTGTGCGCCCAAATATATTTTATGCAGGATATTAGGATATTTATTATTTATAATAGGATTTCTAGTTGTAACATGTTTATCTTTTTTATCATTGTTTCTTGTTTAGAATAGGAGTTAATCTTTTATTGATTAGAATAATATTTTTCTTTCCTTTTGATTAGAATTTTAACCCCCGTTTGATCTATATTATTATCTCGTTAAAATGAAAAATATGACTGTTATGCATCACATCAACATTTAAATTCAAATTTTCTATCTTTTATGTGGACTCCAATAACGACTATATTTTTCATTCTCATTCTACAATAATTTGGCTCAAATAGGGAGTTTATTTCCTAGATAATGATTTTGCCTATGTAATAAAAATGAACTATGTTAGTATATAGTTATATAAAATAAATTTTATGATTAATATGAATATACGTTAATCATATTCTAATATTTTTTGGGATTTTCTTTTCCAGCCCTACCATGATATATATGTATAGATACTTAAATAAGGGAAAATTTCATAAGTAAGAAGTTTAGTTTCACTTATTTCAAATTTAAGAGATAAGGTTTAAAATTTCAAATTTCAGATTTTTTAAGGATTAAAATTTTAAATCTCAGATTATTTTTAAATATTATTTATAAATTAATTAATTAAACATATATTTTATTAATTAAATATATTAAGGTCACAAATTCTGTATAATTGATCACAAATCACAAATTTTACATGTCACAATTCAAAACAATTATAGGTCACAATTTGTTCATCGATCACAAATAAAAAATTGAAACGTCACAAATTATTTTACGGTCACAATTTAAAAAATTTGTCACAATTGTTCATCGATAACAAATCATAAATTTTATAAGTGACAAATTAATTTACGGTCACGAATTTAAATTTTATAGGTCACAAATTATTTTATGGTCACAATTCATAAATTTTATTAGTCACAATTTGTTTATCGGTCACAAATAAAAAAAATTTATTCGTCATAACTTATTCATCGGTCACAAATCACAAATATTATAAGTCACAACTTAGTAAACAGTCACAGTTTGTTAAATTATCGGTCACAAATTAACAATTTTTTAGATCACACATTATTTCTTGATCACAATTTATATTTTTCACTGGTCACATATTATTTATCGGTCACAAATTAATGAATTTAATGGTCACAAATGACCTAATAATCTGTAACCACCATCAAAACTTGTGACCATCACCTTACCACTGCTACCAACAACATGACAATCGAACCCCATCGCTGGAACTACCACCACCTCCTCACGGCAACAAATCATCATCTAAAAATACCGACATCACCACGACCACCAGTACCCACCGCACCACCACCACCAACAGTAGCATAACCACCAATGCCACATATACCACCACCACCACCACCATCATCTCCATCACAACCGCCACCACCAATTAATCGATCACAACAACAACCATATATGAACGTCTCCGTCGCCACATGCACAAGCACAAGCACACTCACTGCCATGCCAACCCACCGCCAACACAAACACCAAACCTACCACCACGCCATCGCTACCGCGACCGCCACCACAAATACCAAACCCACTACCACCGTTCACTGCCGAGAGAAGAGGGAGTTGGAAGAGAAAAGACAGTAGAGAAGAGAGGACTACCACCATCACCGCGACCTCCAGCACCACCACCAACTACAAACATCGCCACCATTTCAAACGACTGCCAACTACCCTAAAAGCTCCGACTATTTTCCTCTAGATAACACATCGATTGTTGCAACAAAGGCATTTCTTGAGCTCAATCGTATCCATCGAATTCAGCCCATAGACATCTACGCCGCCGCTGCCACCTCGCACCCCAACGCACACGACCACCTCACACCACCTCATATTACTTTGCCATCAACACAGCCCACCCTATATAGACGCACCGTTGTTACCACCAACAAAGCCCCACAACGCAACAACACACCAGCGCCACCAACACCATTGAACCACCGCCACCACCATGGGATTTCGTAGATCGCTGCAAGGACGAAGTCGTCACAGCGGCTACGCAACAGATCTCTGGCGTGTTCGCTGTAAGGACCAAGGCGGGCAGATTGTTGTCGACGACGGTGCATGATCTCGAGCAGCGGTGCTCCGGTGTGTTCTCCTCTGACGGCGACGGTAAGGTATAGAAGAGAGAGTGTGGGATCGGCGATTATAGAGAGAGACAATTATAGAGAAAGAAGAGACAAAATGGAAAAATGAAATAATTAGGGTTTTGGTGTGTATTGTTAGGTAGAATGAATATGTATATTTAATTTTGTAATATAATTATTAAAATTTTAATTATCATCAGATTTTTGAAATAAAAACTTGAAAATCTGAATTTTGAAATTGAAAGTTTAAAATTCTGGTATGATGTAATTTCCACATTTAATAATTTGGGCCTATTAATTAAAAATAAAACCACCATGTATGGGCCTTCTCGCCTCACTATAATATTCACTTCTGAGGGGTCAAAGAGCAAGACATTACCCAAGTAATTATTTGAGTTCTCCGTCAAATTCTTTATTGAGATAATTGCACTTTTGATTTCAAAACTTTTCTTTTTTCCGTAGGCTTTATCTAAATTTTTTATTTGCGTCACTCAAAGTATCAAATTTTTCATATTGTTGTTTTGTCAATTTAACCGTTGGTTGACCAATAGTCAATGATCTAACCAAATTTTGATCAATTTTAAAGGATAAAATGATAACTTTATATTATCTCATATAAGAAATAAAAATAATTAAGTAAAAAATGGAGGAAAATACACACACACACACACACACACACACATATATATATAT